CCCCAAAACCCCAAAACCCCAAAACCCCAAAACCCCAAACAAAGAATTCGTGCTGAATTCAATAAATATAGACTAATTAGGAATAAGAAGGATGGAGTTTCGAATTGGTTTTCCTGTTTGTCAACTTCCCTGGACTTCTAGCCTGGTTGGAAGAGTACATCTTATTGTATGTCTTATGCACCCCTTGTTTCAAGTTCCGACTTTTCTGGTAATCCTTCGAATGAGACTCATTTACAGAAGGTGTTCCTTCCGTGAAAAAGTGGCCTCCCATCTTGTTTCTCTGCAGGAGATCTGCTCCGAAGTAAGCTTCAGGCCCAAAAGAGTTGTTAGAGTTAAGTCCCTTGAGGTGATTATAGTTATTCATTTCTTGGTTATATTTATCAGTGATTCTGTTACCCACACTTGAAGAATCATTTTTGCCTGAATTCCTATGATTAGAGTCCTTCTTTTTATTTTTGGCCACTCTGTCTTTCAAGGAAATAACCTTTTTTGATTTCTTGGATTTCATGGAATCTACAGTGACCATATTGTTGTACTGCAGCAAATTAATGGCTGAGTTCATGTCAATATGCATATTGTTAGGGTCCTGGTTCTTCATAATTGTTGAAGGCCTCCCATCTCTTGAGCTGAAGAAAGGTGATAGGTATGGGGCGTTGATGGAGGTAGCGACAGAATCAACAGAGTTCTTCTTATTTGTAAAGAAGTTATTTGAGTTCTGGTTCACTACCTTCTTTGTCTTCTTCTTACTCTTCTTCTTTTTCATTCCTTGCTTATAAGCCATGTATGTTGATAGGGCACTCTTTGTTTTGTTTGCTCTTTTTGAACCACTCTTATCTCCATTCAAATATTGCTTTCTAGTGTTTGAATTTGAACGATGAGAATATTTCAGGTTCCTAAAAGACGAACTCTTATTCACATTGCTCTTTTGATGATACCCCACACTCTTAAGTCTGGAGCTATAGCCTGGCTCTGTTGTACCATCAATTCTAGATTTGCTCTTTTTCACAAAGTTCATGGAAGAATCATTTTCAAAAGCTCTTGAATACCCAGAGCTGCCAGACAAAGGATGCTTGTTTACCAAGTACATCTTGTTTCCAGCAGAATTGTTGACTAGATTCTGCTGATTGTTCGGAGTATAGAAATTAAAGTCATTCATTTCATTTGGAATATTGCCGGCTACATCATCCGAGGACAGTCTATCAAGTGTCTTCTTATTAGATCATGAGGATACTGAAGGCACATGATGCTCTCCTCTGCCCATTTGAACATAATCTTTGACTCTAATTTGATTAATAAAATCATTTGTAAACTCTTCCTTATGAATACTTGGTCCACCTGTGTTAGAAGTGTAGACGGTAAAGTCGTTCCTGCTGTTTTGGTTGTCTTGGTTCTTTATCTTAGGATCTTTTCCTAGCAACTTCCTCATATCCTTCTTTTCCATATCAATGTGAGTAGGAGTCTTGTGCCTCTTGCCAGAGCCTTCTCTCATCTCATCATTTCTGGACTTCTTTTTAAAAGACACACTTCAAGGGTTTGGGTTCCTATGATCTGAAGTATTCAGCTCTTTGTGCTTCAAGAAATTAGAGTAATCATCCATGTTTGGGTTGCTAACTTTCTTCCCCTTCCTAGGTTTAGTTGGGACATAATCTTTCTCAGATTTCTCTTGGAACAAATCCTTCTTATTCTTTGAAAACGATACATTTGATGAAGAATGATTCCCATCAGATTGCTTATTCGCACTCTTTGTTGGAGAGATGCTTTTGTTCTGTCCATTCTGTCCGATGTTGAAGACTTTACCCTTCTTAATAATGAGATCGCTCTGTTTTCTCTTTTTCTCTAATACCTCTTCCTCATAAACACTTTCCTCGGTAGGTTTTCTGTCAGACTTCTGGCTCTTCTGGTGTCTGCCATTATCATGCTCAGTGGCATATTTTTGATATACCTTATCCTCAACATACTTGTTCTTTTGAAGAACTGATTTTGAGGATTTTCTCTTTTCGCTTTCAATGACTTTCTTCTTCTCCACAAGTGAGTACTTCTCGGTCTTCTTATGCTCATTTGCCTTAAGTTCGTTTTGCTCCTCAAGAGGGATCTCAATCTCTTCGATTAGGACTTGCTTGGAGCGGTCAATCTCCTTGCCTTTGTCATAATAAATATTACCTCCTTGATTAGTGTTCATACTTTCTTTGTTCAATAAAGAACAACTTTCGTTCTTGGAGCTTGATTCAAATTTGGCATCGCCTGATTTTGATCTGGAAAGGACAGAATAATTAAAGGTTTTACCCTCAGTGGGCTTCTTTCCATCAAAGTTAAACCTGCTGTTCTTATTGCGCTCCTCCAAACTTTGCATTTTATAGTCCTCTATATCAAATTAACTAAGAACTTTTACCATTCTTGCTGAATTCATTCGATGAATGCTTGCCTGTCTCTTGCTGGTTATTTTCTTTCTTGCCGTTCTTGATGGCATCTTTGAGCTCAGCCTTCTTGATAGTAGAATTTCTGTCAATCTCTTCCTGATTGAGACCCTTATTGCTTTCATCTTCCCTGTCAAATTCCTTCTTAGTTGCCTTTTTCATCTGTTTTCTTATGTCCTTCTTCATTTTTAAATTTGAATTTTCCTTATGATGAGACCCTGAATCCTGCTGCTGAATGTTACTGTTCTCAATTATATGTCTTGGGTTTTGGAACCTCGGGTTTGGATAATCCATCAGAGAAGTGTTCACAGATGGAATCTTCAGATCTTGCTTGTAGGCTTCCTTGTCCTCACCCATGTTATAGAATTTCTCGTCAATAGAAGACCTGAGGCTGTACCTGTTCATTTCCTCAATTAATTCCTTAGGATTTTCAAAACTTGGTTCAATAGCATCTTCTCCCTGAGAATTTTGTTTGGATTCTTCGAACTCGGGCTTGCTGTTGTTAATCTTGACGGTCTCAGAGATGCTATCTCCAAAGTCCCTAACCTGTCTGTTATATTTATCTGTCTCTTCAAAGACCATCCTATCGATAGAGGAATGGGTGAAGTTGGCCTCTCCCTTGATCTTGTCATTCTTCTTGTTCTTCTTCTTATCGTTATCCTTGTTCATGGTATCAGAGAATTCTATTTTATTTTACCTTGCCACTATTGAAATCTGAGTTTTCAGTATTCTCTTTATACTCAATAAGTTTCTTGAAGGATTCAGATTCCCTAATAGGTGAAGGAATCCCATTGGAGTTTGTACTATTGAGAATACTGAAGCCTCTGTCATGACGGATCATCTCTCGAATCTTATCGGATAGGGACTGGTAACTAGCTCCTGCTTCTACACTAAGATTTATAGTGTCTTCCTTGGAGTGAGAAGGATTGTTGATCATATTGTAGATAAGTTCTTCGATTTCTTTGAGAGTTCTCATTTTAGTATCCTCTTCACCATTTTCAAAAGCTTCTTTAAGGTTATTTAGAGCTTGTCTTCCTGGGCCCATGTCTTGCTCACGATTGGTCATGACCTCATGATTGAGAAATAGGTAAGCATCAACTGATTCAGGGTTCATTTTTGAAAGAGTAAGCTCTGTTTTCATATTATCGATCTCTTTCTGGGCCTTTTCTAATAAACTAACGACTTTTTCTCAGGAATTTTCTTGCACTTGCTCAAAAAGCTCCTGTAAAATAATAAAATGATCATTAAGACTATTGGCCTTTTCAAATTCTTGCTTCTTCTTCTGATATAGCAAGTAATCAACACCTTTCGCGAACTCGTCAAGGTAAGTAGCAAACCTCCCATGCTCTATCTTCACTTGAGCTTGTAGTTTCAAGTTATCTATCTTAAGTGATCGTACCAGATCCTTCAGTTCGAAAAGGACCATTGGGTCTATCCCTTTCACTTCCATAATATAAAATTAAATAATTCAACTTGTGAATTTCAAAATGGGGTTTTGGGGTTTTGGGGTTTTGGGGTTTTGGGGTTTTGGGG